TTATGATGAGAATATAAAGTTAAAAGAAAATTAGGTAAAATTTGAAAAAATGTATGGGACAATGGAAGTTAAATTATAATAAATGTAAAAATTTATGGGAAATAAAACTGTTGGTGCAGGAGAAACTAGTGAATCTAACAATTAATTAGTATCAAAAGTAAATAATTTGGAAACTGAAAATGAAAAATTAAAATAAAAAATATAAGCTATTTCTTAAGCATAAAGAGTTGTTGTTGCACATTAACCTATGAAAAAAAAGAAATTAGTATAAGCAGATAGACCAGATATTGAATAAACTGGAATAAGAGGAGGTTAATTTGTAGATTAATAAAATCAAATAAAATAATTGTTAGATTTAAATGATAAATTAAAGAAAAGATTACTTGAATAAGAAGCATAATTTAGATAACTTTAAGCAATGATGAATTCTAAAATTGTTAATCAATAGGAATTAAGTTAAAAAAATGCTTAATTTGTAACACTTTAAGAAAGATGTAATAAATTAGAATCTAATTTAAATGGTATGAGAACATAATTAGATGATGAACGTAAAAGATAGAGTGAAATTATGATGCTCTTAAGAGAAGAAAAAGAAAAGAATCATTTATTAGAAGGATAAGTTAGATCTATGGAATTAGCATAAAAAAGTGTTGTTGATTTATAAGCAGATTTATAAGAAGCAAGAAGATAAAAGAAGGAGATTGAAGAAAGATTAGCAATTTTAATGGAATCACCATTTTTTAAAGAATATAATGAAAGAGCTACTATATAAGCTAAAATGAAAGCTATGGAATAAGAATAAATAAGGAATGCTACAGATTTAAAGAATTTAAGAGAAACTAATGCTAAGTTAGAAACAGAAAATAGATTGAAAAGAGAAGATATTGAAAATCTTAAAAAAGAATTAAAATTATTATAAGAGAGAAATTAAGAATTAAATATAAAGATGGCAGAAAAAGATTAATAATTACTTCCATTTAAAGATTTAAATTATTGGGATAATGATTAATTTTTAAAAGTGTTAGGTAATTTAAAATGGACTGGAGAAGATCCTGCATGGAGAAAAATAGAATTTATAGATCGTACTTATATGGATTCTGATGATCCTGTTTATTTAAGAAAAGAGATTGAACATTTAAAACTTGAAAAAGGAGAATTGGCTGCACATTTAGAGAAAACATAAACTTTACTTAAGAATTAATAAGATATATAAATGGAAAAAGATAAAATGCATTAGACATAAATAGAATAATTAAAATTGGAATTAAAGGTTGCAAATGAGAAAGCATATGAATATGCAAAAATAGCTGATCTTAAAACTTAAGCAAGATAATAATAAACATTGTATGAAGCTGAAGGAATCAAATATGATGATTCTATATCTGTATTCTCAGTTGACAAAGATGAAATGTTATCTCCAGGAGAGAATTTCTTTGATTTATGGATTGGTAAAGGAGAATATTAACCTGCTGAATTAGTATCTTCATATAAGACTTCTACTCAATTAAATTTGGATCTTGGAAGTCTATTGACATTTGTTACAATTGATTTCTATGATCATGAAACATAACATACAAGTGTATCAGAAGGAACATCATGTTTTTATAATTTATAAATAAGTTTTAAAGTTGATGCTGATGCTAACTTTATTTAATATCTTGAAAGCAATTATTTAAAATTAGAACTTTATGTTAGTTAAGGTAGTGAACCTACAAAAATTGGATCAGGATTAATTTAATTGAAAGATTTAGTTTATGAGAATAAAAATGATACAATTAGTAAAGTTATTAGTGGATCTCTTACTTTTCATGGAATCAATAATTAAATGATAGGAATAGTTGAATTTAAAGCAAGAATGAGATTTCCAATTTCAAATTTTATACGTTTATTAAAAGAAAGAAATTAATTATAGATGTAAGAATTTGATGAAGCAGAAGAGATAGTTGCAGTAAGAAAAAGAAAACTTGTAATTTGTATTGAAAAAGGTACATCTCTTCCTTCTAAATCTAATTGTTTCATTTATTATAATTTTGATACTAAAGATTTTCATACTAATACTTAAATGGGATCTAATCCAAAATGGGATTATAGAATGGTTCATGATATAGTATATAATGAAATGGTTGTCAATTAATTTAATAGAATGCCTTTAGAATTATATATCATTGATGATAATCAACCTTTAGTAGAAGGATCAAATGATAAAGTGGGATTCTGTTTAATAGATTTATCTCCTTTAGTTAAAAATCAAATGATTGATTTAGCAGCAGAAGTCAAAAATGATGATGGAGATAAAGTAGCATCAGTTTATGTTAAAATCTTTTGGTATGACATAAAGGATGAAGATACATTAAATTAATAGAGATCTATGATTGCAGAATCTTGGGAAGAAAATATTACTCATAAAATAAGTTCAGAAATGAGATCTAGAGGATTATTGGGCATTACTGCTTTTAGAGTATTTGATAAGGATTAAGATTAAATTATCACTTTTGAAGATTTTGCTAATGGTTTAAAGAATGTATTAAGTATTAAAATGAATCCTTAAGAAATGTAAGTTTATTATTCTAAATTACCATAACCATTAAATTAATAGAAATTTTAAGAGTTTTTCCGTTTGTAATCTAATGAGAGTGTTATGTATGAAGCAGGATTTAAATCATAATATCAAACATAAGAATTATCATCAATAAATTAATTAATGTAATAAAACACTATGTAATTACAAAGAACTTAATTAGAATAAATTCATAATTCTATTTATGATTTATTGAAAAGAAAACTTTCTTATGGTAAATCAGTTTAAGAATTATTTATGGAAATTGATTCTGTAAAACCTGATGGACAATTAACTATAGATGAATTACAAAAGTATTTCTAATAAAATAGTTTACTAATACCCATAGCTTAATTAAGAGATTTTCTAAAATTTTATATGGATATTAATAATGATCAATTAATTAATTTTAGAGAATTTGCTAATTTCTTTAAATTGATTCCCACTTCTTAATAATAATAGGTATATTCACAATCTTCATTTCGATAAGGCAGTAATTAAAGAGTACAATCTAATTTCCCAAGTATATAAGATACTTAATTATCTCAATCTCCAATAGAAATAGCAATTACTGCAATTCTTAATTATGGTTAGGCAAGATAATGGACTTTAATGTAGGTAAGAGAATTCATGGATGAAAACAGAAATAGTTTTATTGAAGCAAATGAAATGAAAAAGTTTCTAATATAATTTGGAGTTCATAAAAATTTACAAAATGGTGATGATGATATAAGATAAATTATAGGATACTTTGATATTAATCATGATGGAAGAATATCCATTTCTGAATTTGCAGATACATTAAATACATATAATACTAGATTATAAATTATTAAAGCATAACCAACTTAATAAAATATTTAAAATTATGTTGTTGGTTATCTTATTACTTATATGAGAAAGCATAGGAAAACTGTTCCAGAATTGTTTAATGATATTGATTAAGATGGAAATGGATATTTATCAAAAGTTGAATTGAAGAACATTTTTAAAAATAAAATTGTAATCTAATTTAATCTATTTTCTTTATTAGTTGGTACCTGTTGATGAATTTGAATTAAATGAGTTATTTATGGAATTTGATAAAAATAAGGATGGTCATATTAGTATATCAGAGTTTTTGTAAATTGTAAAACCAGCTCTTGATCAGGATAAAAATGAGCTTTAATTTAATTAATAAGGAATTGATAAAGAAAAGGTTGCTCGAAAAGCTGAAGAAATATGTTTTAAAAATGCAAGAGTTCTTCAATTAGCTTTCTAATCTAAAGCATAAAAGCCTGGTTATGTAACTGAGGCATAGTTCAAATAAATTCTTAAAGAAACAAAAGTTGGATTTACTCCCAATGAAATAGACGATTTAACAGTATATTTATCTAAATTTAATTTATAGATATATGTTATTTAACCAGAAAATGGAATGATAAATTACAATTAATTCTTAGATCTAGGTAAACTTAGAGGAGCATAACAATCTGATATATTTGGTTAAACTAGTAGATCAGGATTTGGTTCTTTAAGTCAAATAGAATAGGAGAGAGCCATAGGTAAAGCTAAAGAAGTATTAAATAATATATATTATATTAGGTTTTCAATAGAATTTCAAGAGCTGTAAAAAATAAATATACTCCTTAACAACTTTTTGCAACTTTTGATAAGGATTCAAATGGAAAAATTAATAAAGCAGAATTAGCAGAAGTATTTTCAAAGATGAAAATTAAAAATCTTGATAAAGATGATGTTGAACTTATTTTCAAAGCATTAGACAGAGATGAGGATGGATAAATTGATGTAAAGGAATTCATCAAATATCTAGAATGATAAAATATTATTCATTTATAAAAATAATAAAATAAAAATAACAGCCGATTGAGAGAATTGAACTCTCGACCCTTTGCTTACAAGGCAAAAGCTCTAACCACTGAGCTAAACCGGCTCGGTTGAACTTTTTACTATTCTTTTGGTTATCAGTGGCTTCAAAATAATTATAGGTAATAATATTTTTTAAGAAATATAAAAATATTTCATAAGAGACTTAAATATTATAAAAATAATTAATAATATAAGTATATCAGATATTCTATTTATTATAAAATTTATACTTTTCTACTAAAATATAAATTCTATAAAATAATTCTTTTTAAGAATTTTAAATTAGATAAATGGTTTTTTTATACATTAATAAAATCTAAAGTCTACTTCTATAAGCAACATTAATATTTATTAATGAAAGTACTATTCAGAATTAAGATTGTTCTAAAAGAATTTTTTACAGATGTCTTAATTTATTATGAAATCAAAAACAATCAAAAAGATCTATATTATGTTATTATCTTTAGAAAGAATCCTTTTTGAGTAAAAAAGAATAGATTATATAAAGAATATAAATTGAAAATTTACAGGATAAATTATAAATCAATAACAACAATACGTAAATCTCTGAATTATGGAAGAACAAAATATGGTTTCAGATATTCAATTTGAAGAATAAATCAATGATCCAATAGAATACAATATGGAGAAACAATAATATGATAAAAGAGTATTTAGTTATAATTCAAAATCCAAAAAAAAATATTAGAAGATTATTGAAAAATTAGAAAATCTCAAAAAGACAGAATTAAAAAAGAAAAATAAAGATAATTAATAATTTAAATTGGAAATTGAAGGAGATGATTATAGTGAAGTTAAAAATAATTAAGAGAAATTGAAAATTTTAAAAGAAATTATGAGTTCTGTTCCTGCCTATTTGTTAATGAGTCCAGCATAAAAAAGGAAATATTTCAAAACTGTTAATACACAATTTTATGAAACTTTATAGAAAGAATTAGGATCATAGTGTTCTCACTAAAAAAGTGTACAATTTGATCTTAACAGGAATAAAATCAAAAGTATTGCACACTTGTAATATTTTTAGCTTTTAAGTAGAGTGATAATGTATTTGAAATTTCATAGTCATTGATTTGATATTTATAATTAATATAAATAAAGCAGAGAAATTGATACTAATAAGCTGTCATTTTTTTAGGTTATTGTTTAGTCCAGGTTTAAAGCGACTACATTATATATAAAATTTACATACGCTCTAACAAAGCGAAGTTTAAGCTCTATATACTTCCTCTCTATTCCTTCATCTCCTTCATTCATCTTCTAAAATTCAATAGTTGTATCATCTTCTTTTAGTATTTGATTGAAGGATTGACTCAGATTAGATCTTAATTTCTATCCATTTAATAGATTCTCCAAATTAGAATCTGGAGAAATAGAGATAAGATGATCATATTGATGAATATTTGCAGTACCAGAATTATTAGACTTACTATTCTAAAATTTTGAATTTGAATTAAAAGAAATTCTACTTAATCGACTTAAAATACTAGGTTGTATTCCAATCATAATACTATTATTAAAATCATTATCTGAAACAGTATCATTATTACTACTGATAGATTATAACCTATTTTTTTTACGATTAATTTCTGGTGTAAGAGTAGATCTCTTTTTATCAGGCATTTTTAATAATGAATTCATATCTTACTCTATTGATTAATTTAATTATGAACCTAGAAGATTATTACAAGAAGAAAGATCTTCTTTGGATTTCTTAAACCTACAAATTTTAAATTAATAATTTACAAAGAAGGTTTGCTATTAAGGAGATTACTGCTTGATGATTATCCTTCTCTATCAGTTTTTTATGAGATTATCCAATCAAAAATAAGTTCTTTTGATAAATAATTATGTTCATTTGAAATCTTTCTAAATAATGATAAACAATATTTATAATTTGGTTCTGATTTAAATGGTATTCCTTTAACATAATCTAAATATCTAGCAAATTCTATAGGTAATCCTTAACATAATTCATTTGTGTCTATTTTCATTTTTAATTGGCCAACTTAATTTATTTTATCCTCTTCTGATGTAAACTGAAGATTTTACCATGGAAGTTAACCTTAAATTATGTTCCATCAATAAATACCTTTTAATAAGTAGATCAACATATAACATAAGGATTCCATGTCATCTCTTCTACTCAAAGATAATCCCTTATGAGCATTGATACTTGCATATCGTGTGGTTCCTATAAATGGTTGTTTATCCCTTAAAGATCTAAGATTATAGAATTAGAATATTGTTATTACATATGTGATTCGTTTTCATCTTTATAAAACTTACTAATCCCAAAGTCTACAATAAAAAGTTGATTTTCTTCATCCTCTTTACCAACCAAGATATTTTCTGGCTTTATATCTCTATGTATTACATTACTGAAATTAAAATAAATATTTTTACTATTTATGAAGACTTTCTAAAATAATTATCATTTGTTCTGCAATATTAAGAACACATTTTAAAGAAAATTTACGATAATTTTTTAAGTAATGTGTTAAATCTCTTCCTAAATATTGAATCACTAAGTATGTTGTATCTCCTTCTCTTCCTGACCAATATAGTTTTGGAATATGTTTTAAATGTTGTAGTCTTCTCAGTATTTCTGCCTATTAAGATAATATATTTTTTATTTTACTTCTCTTTGAAGACTGGACTCTTCTTTATTTTCCTTATCAACTTTTATTGCTACAAAATTTCGAGTATTGATATCTTGTCCTAAATATACAACACCAAAAGAACCAGAAGAAATTCTCTTTTTGGTTATATATGTATTGTTGATGAGCTTTTAATTATTCATTATATGAAATAATAATTAGTAATTTAAGGAGTGGCTACAGGTTCCTCAACTAAGGTCACTCTTAAACCAAAGCCAGTACAATAAAAGCCAAAATATTAAGCTCCTCCTCCCAAATAATCTATTAAAAAACAAACAAAAGTTAATGTCCCATAATAGCAATAATCAAAATAATAATAATAGTAATAAAAACCACCTGAAACTAAAGTTGTTTAATTAACAGAGTCAATATTATCAGATAAATCTGAACCAGATTAGTAGCAATTTAAATTGTAACAGGAACCTATAAAATAAAATGAGTTTGCATAAATACATGTACCTGTTTATGGAGAAGTTACAGTCAAATACTCACACTATAATGAAAAGTTTCCAATAAAAGATGGATAATTATTGGCTAAAGCTATTGATGAGAAATATTGTTTATCTTTTGTTTTTCAAGGACAATACAAATTGATTTTAAAATCAGAAGATAAGAAAAAAATATTTGAATTCAGTCGTGGAGGTTGGGATGGATGTGAAAATGGTAAAACCTATTATGTAGAGGTTGAAGAAGATCCTATTCAAGAAGAATGGGATAGAAAGAATTCTAAACCTTATTAAGCTCCAAAAGAAGATACTTGTCCTTTGAAGAATAAAAAATTGGAATTGATTACTTCAGAACTCAAAGCAATGAGCATAGATGAAATTAAGGATAAGGGATCAAAATTTAAAGAACTTATCGAAGCTAGAGATTTGGAGGATATTTTATTCAAATGAATATATATATATATATTATCCAAGTTTGGAACTCTATTATTATAATTCTTTGTTTTTTTTTTTTGATTCTCTCTTTAAAAATTAATCACTTTTTTATTATTATTATTAGTTTTGATGATTTTTAATTAATATTAATTATTTATAATATAGAATTCATAAATGAATTTTTATTTTTTTTAGTAGAAATTCAAAAAGAAGTTATTTAATAATAAATATAATTATTAATATCTTCTATTAAGAATGCAAAAAAATAATTAAATTAAGAATTACAATTATTGAAATATTTTGAAAAATAAAATAAATAAATTTAAGAATTATTCTTTATAGATTTTAGTAAACCAAAAATAAATTTGAATAGAAACTAAAGTATTTATAACTTTTTTATTTGTTTTTAATATTATTTTATAACATTTTATATGTTAATTATAATTAATATAAACTATTAACTTTAAAGAACATTTTATATTATAGATAACTTATTCAAAGTTGAATAGGTATTGTTAATTGGGATATCGATTGAGTATGAATATAATTACTTTAAATACTAAATTATATTATGTATTAAAATAAATTTAATATTTAACTGCTAATTAAATGTCTAATAATTCACCCTTTTAAGTATATCTTAGAGTTAAGCCCTTGTTAGATAATAAGTAATAATATTTACAATTTCTAGTCAGGACAGTCTTATTTAAGAGTTAGATGAAAAGAGAATAGTGATTACCAAATAGGGTAGAAATAATAAAGAGTTTCATTTTGATCGTATTTTCAATAACGAAAACAATGCTTAAATTTTTTCTGAGATTCTCTAAGTATTTTTGTTTATCTAAAGTTATAGCATAATATAAATTATTTCCTTGAAGGTTATAACACAACTATTTTGGCATACGGTATAACAGGATCTGGTAAAACACATACAATATTTGGTAATGAAAAAGACGAGGGACTTGCATTCTAATGTTTAAATTATTTAGTTGAATAAACAAAGTATTTAAGCAATTTAAGTTAGTGCTTACCCAAATGCATTAGTAGAAGTTAGTTTTATTGAGATATACAATGAAACTATAAGAGATCTATTAAATACTAATTAAAAATCATTAGTAATTATGTAGGATAGTTAAAAAGGATAATATATATCTGGAGTATAATAAATGGTTTGTAAGAATTGTGAAGAAGTGAAAGAAGTATTGAACCTTGGGAATCAAAATAGAAGTTTGGCTTAAACTATATATAATGTTTCATCTTCAAGATCCCATGCTGTGATTCAAGTAAACTTATCCTATAAGATTGACAAGTAAAAATGTTATAATAATTTTTAAGTTAAATTCTAACTCCAAAATTATTTATTGTAGATTTGGCAGGTTCAGAAAAAGTCTATTTGGAATAGAAGTCAAAAAACTAATAAGAAGGTTCTAATATTAACAAATCATTATTGGCCTTAAGTCATTGTTTAACGATGTTATCAGATAAAACTAAGAAAAATTAACATATTCCATACAGAAATTCTAAACTTACTAGACTTTTATAAGACTCTTTAGGGGGAAACACAAAAACTATAATGATAGCTTGTGTATAATAAAATAAGTAATCATATGATGAAATTTTGAATACATTGACATATTCTTAAAGAGCTACATAAATAAAGAGACAGGTTCAAAAAGAAATTACATCTATTCCACAGAATACAAAATCAGAAGATCTATCTCCTACAAATGAATCTTAATAGTCAGGAGATTCCTCTTCTAAATCAATCTATTTAACTAAAATTTATAATGATATATACTCAAATGTAGAAGAATATTATGAGATTAATAATTCAATAATGGAAATTTAATCATAAATTTAAGCAAATTCTTAAAAAATAGAAGAAACTCAAGAAACTAAATAAGAGGATGAAAATTATATGAAATTGTTAGCAGCATAAAAAGAAAATCAAATAATTGAAAAATAATTATAGAATGCATTAAAAACAAATTTATAATAAAAACAGATATTAAAATCTTTACTTCTTTAGATTACAGAAGAATAATAATCAACAATAAATTATTGGAAATAAAGATTTGCAGATTTATCCAAATAAATATTAGACATGAAATCTGATTAAGAGAAATCATAATAAGAATTAGTTTCAAAAGATTTACTCATTGCTTAATAAAAAACAATAATAGAATCAAATAAATTACCAAAAAATTAATCATAATATACAACAAGTGGAGATTCAGATCAATCATATCCTATTTCATTTTCATCTTCTACTAATAATTCTTAAATTAAAAAGAAAACATCTATTACATAATAACCTGCTGAAGATAGACCTAGATTTGCTAATATTTCTCACATTAAGTAGAGATTATCACCAAGAGATAGATCACCTGCAAGTAGTATTTTTGGAACATCACCTGTAAGATCACCTTTAAAACATCATTCAATATATAGAAATTTAAGTAATAAATAGTATATAAATTTAGATTCAATTTCAAAAGATGATTCAAGAGAATTATCAAAAGATTTATCAAATCTTAGTATTCATAAAAAATCACGTGTTGTTGATCCATAAATTACAACAATAAATTTATATGGAACTACTTACATAAATGTAATAGATTAAAAAGAAAATAACTGAAAATATTATTTATCTCATCTATGAATGTTTAATTTAATTTAATAAATTATAAATCTAAACAGCCTAATCAAAATTTAAATTAAAAAAATTAATATTATATTTTAAAAAAATGTTATAAGGATAATAATATACTTTTATTATTAATTTTAATTCATACATGATGTATAAATTAAATTTAATTATTAATATACTTCTCATTTATAATTATATATAGAAAATATTAAAAATGAAATAGCATAATTATAAAAAGGTTTCTTGATATACTTTTAAAGTTTGTTAAAATTAATGAATAATATAAATTCATATTATATATAATTCTCCAAATGGTAATTTATATTTTATAATAATCAATTATACAAAAATCTATATTCAAAATAATCTAAATGGAATAGAGTTTGTTTAACGATTACAAACTACACAAATTTCAATTTAATCTTTGCATTTTTTGGATATAAGAGGAACCCAAAATAAAGGGAGAATAATTATGAATAAAATACTAGCTAAAATATACGTATTTGATCCATTTTTGAATAATACTTAAGTTGGTTTTCTTGTATTACAAAATTAACAATAAATCTTAGATGGTTATGATACTTTTATTGGTTTTTCATATTCATACTTTTCAACATTATCAATAATAGTAAAATTTGAAACCATAGGAAGTTTGTTTTAATTAGCCTATGGGAGATTATTTTTTTCATTAGTTATTATATAGATATTAGTAATATTTTCGGCATCCGATTAAGTGCTACTTTATTTATTAACGCTTAGTTTAAAAAGTTCGTATTCTACTTTTTTCTAAGCTTTGAAAGTTGGACTATCTGGAATGTAAGAGAATTGTTAAGGTACTTGATTAGGATTGTTTTAATTTTGGTTTTGCTTAAAAGAATTAGCACACATGATAATTTAAATTTCTAGATTATAATTATAATAATTATATGTAAATGAAATATTAAATATATTTATGCTAATAACTTTATTTAAGATACAAAAAAATATTAAATTTAATTTTGAAAGTGATCACTTTATTATATTAAGAATAAGTTTATAAATAGAGTTATAATTTGATAATTTAAATAAAATGTAATTTTATTTATATATATCGAATTAAATCAGTTTATTCAGTCAGTCTGATAATTAACAAAGCATAGCTACACCTCTCTTCACCCAATGATGTTATGATTATTCAGTTGGCATATTGACATTCATAATGAAATTAGTAGAATGACCAGTGGTGGAGAGAACACCTCTTCTTTCAGCAGTTTTGTAGACAGGACAAATATATTAATTTTTAATGTCTATTTCCCCTTATATTGGTTTAAGCCAGATGATAGGTGCCAAGGTTGTAAGTACTTTTGGATTAGATTCTACAATCATTTCTCGACCATAATCCCATCTACATCCTTCTAAAAAGAGTCCAAAAATAAGAGTACCATCTAGAATATAGGNTTATATATAGAAAATATTAAAAATGAAATAGCATAATTATAAAAAGGTTTCTTGATATACTTTTAAAGTTTGTTAAAATTAATGAATAATATAAATTCATATTATATATAATTCTCCAAATGGTAATTTATATTTTATAATAATCAATTATACAAAAATCTATATTCAAAATAATCTAAATGGAATAGAGTTTGTTTAACGATTACAAACTACACAAATTTCAATTTAATCTTTGCATTTTTTGGATATAAGAGGAACCCAAAATAAAGGGAGAATAATTATGAATAAAATACTAGCTAAAATATACGTATTTGATCCATTTTTGAATAATACTTAAGTTGGTTTTCTTGTATTACAAAATTAACAATAAATCTTAGATGGTTATGATACTTTTATTGGTTTTTCATATTCATACTTTTCAACATTATCAATAATAGTAAAATTTGAAACCATAGGAAGTTTGTTTTAATTAGCCTATGGGAGATTATTTTTTTCATTAGTTATTATATAGATATTAGTAATATTTTCGGCATCCGATTAAGTGCTACTTTATTTATTAACGCTTAGTTTAAAAAGTTCGTATTCTACTTTTTTCTAAGCTTTGAAAGTTGGACTATCTGGAATGTAAGAGAATTGTTAAGGTACTTGATTAGGATTGTTTTAATTTTGGTTTTGCTTAAAAGAATTAGCACACATGATAATTTAAATTTCTAGATTATAATTATAATAATTATATGTAAATGAAATATTAAATATATTTATGCTAATAACTTTATTTAAGATACAAAAAAATATTAAATTTAATTTTGAAAGTGATCACTTTATTATATTAAGAATAAGTTTATAAATAGAGTTATAATTTGATAATTTAAATAAAATGTAATTTTATTTATATATATCGAATTAAATCAGTTTATTCAGTCAGTCTGATAATTAACAAAGCATAGCTACACCTCTCTTCACCCAATGATGTTATGATTATTCAGTTGGCATATTGACATTCATAATGAAATTAGTAGAATGACCAGTGGTGGAGAGAACACCTCTTCTTTCAGCAGTTTTGTAGACAGGACAAATATATTAATTTTTAATGTCTATTTCCCCTTATATTGGTTTAAGCCAGATGATAGGTGCCAAGGTTGTAAGTACTTTTGGATTAGATTCTACAATCATTTCTCGACCATAATCCCATCTACATCCTTCTAAAAAGAGTCCAAAAATAAGAGTACCATCTAGAATATAGGTGATAATAGATTACCGTTAACTTATCGAGGTAATTGATTAATTTCAAAATTAGATTACGGCTCTTCAAGAAATTGGAAATCAAAATCTAATTTGTCTATTGCTATTGAGTATTTTCTGGCATGATTTTATAGGACAGCAGTAAGGAAGGATTAAGTAAAGAAGAAACCTGAGATCCAATGGACATAGGGTATTTATTTATCTAGCCAATTTTAGAAATATCTAATTCTTCTGAAGAAATCTTATAAATAAGAAGCAAGGGGTTTTAATGAAGGATAACTATATTTTTTCCATTATTCTGGTACTGTTCCAATAAGAAATGATTAAGTAATTTTCTCCAATTAATCAGACATTGCTGTTAAACCTTTGATTGCATTTAATGTATCAATAAATGATTACTAAATAATTGAGATTAATTTATTGAATCTTGTTATTTCTTATTAGAAAACAGTATTAAAAGAGTTCTTATAATCATGAGGATATTTAGCATTAGCAATTTCCATATCAAATTTTCTAGGGAAATTGGCAAGGTACTCTTCACATAATTGTTTAAGAATATTATCTGCTTTTTTAGATTCATCATTTTATTAACCATCAGTATATGAAGATCCTAAAGTTTATTACAATTTTCTTAATATTTCATCTGTATATTGTTAATCCTTCATTATTTCAGCATTTGGATGGAATCCAAAAAGATGAGTAGGTTAAACTAATGGTAGATTATTCAATTGATTTATATATTCTTCATATGATAAACCTTCAATGATTGGAAAATCTTATATTTAGAAAGTATCTAATGTTACTTTTTCTGTCAAATATTCATCTAAGAGTGCTCTAACTACTCTTCTATCTCTTTCATCAGTCACTCTACCTCCATAATTGCATTCTCCAATCAAATAATGTAAAGCATAAAAAGGAATGGAAACATCAGCAGCCATTTATTATAATTACCTTATTGATATAAATAGATCAGATTGATTAAAATCATAATAGATATTAAATCCAATAGGTCCATAATTTCTACGTTCTTATAATATAGCATGGAAAAATGATAATGCATAAAATAGTTTAGATAATTTTTTATTTGAATAATCTAATTATTAATATAGAGCACTAGAATAACTGACTTATAGATTCGATTTTATACCAGTTGGAGGTTCATTTGTCATCTTTACACTACTTTAAACAATAGATGCAGGTAAATCTTCACTAGGATAACTAGTTAACCAAAGTCTAAAATGATTATGCATTTTCTATGTTTATATATCCTCTATAATCTTTTCTAATTTTGGCATCCATGATGGATATAAATGACAATTTTATAATATCACCCATGATCCTGATTATTTTGCATCTTCGATTTCCTTTTCTGCAATAACACCTTATCCTTAACCTAATGAAACAGATCTTAATTATATATCTTTCTATTTAGCAAAATTAAGTAAAGCATTCATTGGATCAGTACCTGGTAATACAAATAATAATGGGGATTTGGGATTACTACCCTGAAATGATTAATGAAGAGAAAATGATGGAGGTTGAGTATATTTTTCTCCTAATTCTGAAGAAACAAAGTCTTATATCACTTTAGGCAATTTACCAGGTCTTAAAGCTTTTATTATACACATTCTTTAAATAGGTGTGATGATAATAAAAGGTTCAGGTAATCTAATTGAATGGCCATCAGGTGAGTTTAATAATTCCATCCAAACTTCAGGGAAATTACGCATACTATCTACAATTTATGATAATTTCTTGTTCACTTTAATTAACACTTATACTCTTGCCCATGCTTAATTTGGTAACCATTCTTTGAAAGGATTTTCTGGTACTTCATTTGGAATAGTTATTTATCTAATAATGAAGGAGAATTCTTCAAAATCTATTTATTTCTTTTATTCAAGAATTTTAATTAAAATGATAAAACTGTAAAGTAATTTATCTTTTTCAAATAATCCTCTACAAACTTAATTATAAATTAAATTTAATGTCATATTATTAATGTTACTTATTCTTTATTGAATACGTTAACTTGGTTCACTTTTGATGAATGCTTCCTAATATAAATTTAATAACCAAGTTAAAGAGTATTAATACATAGAATCTAATTAGGCTAATGATATGACTGCAAAGAAAAGTAAAGCACCATGAATGGCAATTGGTTTGTATTATACTCTGGCTTCATCAATCTTTCTTTCTGTATATTCTGATGTCTCTTATTTTTCTTCAATATCTTTTGATTTCTCTTTAGATGTCTATAAAATTTAAATAGCTTCTTCATCATTAAGTATATTTTCAGCTTTATTTAAAACTCTAAGAATTTAATCTTCTATTTTTTATAATTCTTATTTATTTTTGTGTTATTATAAAATTTATCTATTTTTCTCCTCTTCTAAATTTGGTTATTCTTTGCTTACACATATTTCAAGTAGTTAATCCTCTAATCCACTTTAAGTAATAGTAAAATTGATAATTGTAACTTTAGTACTAATTTCAGGAGTATAATGAGGATTACTTAATTTAGTGGTCATAAATAAATTAAATTATTTATTATAGGGTATTATGTTATCTCCAATACGGACTGACATAACTCCAGCATTTTTGAATATTTATTTAAGTAGCACAGAATCAATAGTTGAATCAATATCTTCATATACATTTTCAATGAGTAAAGGTTATCCAAATTAAAGAGTATTCTCTAATGTTCTCAAGAAATCACTATCTGTAAATTTAACTAATTTTATATCTTTTTCATTTTATCTAATAAATCTATTTCCTTGTCCTTATGGATCTATTAATAAAGGAAATCTTTGACATCTATTCATGATAATTCCATTTTCAATACTAAATTAATCACTAGGTAAACCATTCATTCTCCATTATCTAATTAAAATAGGTTATCCAAGAATATTCTATAATGAAAAGTTTTCAGAGAATTACATATGACCTTATAAATGATCCATCCACATTTTTATAGTTTTCTATCTAAAACTATTACTAAAAACTCCTAAATAAGCAATAGTTCCAGATGATAATATAATATCTCCCTATACTTATTTTAATCTTTATTCATAAATAGTTGATGATTTACTCCATCTTTCTCTTTCACCTCCTAATCCTTCCATCAACTTTGTAGCTCTTTACAATTTAACTTCACATTCTTTAATATCTCTATCCAATTATTATTGATTATTTATAGTTTCCTAATAAGCCTATTCTAACTTATTAATCTCTGTTGTTAATACAGATAAATCTTATTATAATATTTTCAATGATTCTTATAATCTAGCTACTTCCTATTATGATTGAAGATACTTTTCTTATTTAGGTCTAACAATAGTGAGTACCTTTTCATATTCATCTAAAGCTAAAACCCATTCACATAATCCTTTAGCAGCAGAACTAGCCTTTTCAACTCTTTTTGGATTATATTCTTCTTTTTTAGAAATATAATTATTTCTAACTTTTTGCATAATTTCAGGTTTGATATTATTTTTATCATAACCAATAAGTTTTTATAGGAAATCCTTGTCTGCTAAAAATTTCTTACTTGCTTCCCAATAATCCATAAATCTTTCTTTTGGATTTTCTGGTTTAGGCATACTGATAGGTGGAACTCCACATAAAACACAAACAGATTCCATTACTAATTTAACAGTAATTGGTGGTTTCAACATAGCTTTGATTGAATTAATATCTGCAGGTGATAATGTATTTAAAGCTTCTTCTGCTTATTTTAATTTAGGCTTTGCTACAGATAATTCTTTCTCACATTCTTAATTAATTATTTCAGCTTCCTTAACACATTCTGATACTCTAGCTTCCTCTTATTATACTTATAATCTCTTAGGTTCCATTGCATCTGCTTATTATTTAATAATAACTGCTAATTTACTGGCTTCAATATTCATTTCAACTAATTTAGGTTATTTTTCAATTAATTCAGCTTCCATTCTCTTAACTTCTTCTTATGTTTAATCAAGTTTAGTTACTCCATTTTTATACATATTTCTAGTATCTTCTAATTTTGTTTTTTCTACATGTAAAACAGCTTGAAATGTTTTCAATAACTCAAAATAACTACTAGGAGTAACATAATTGTGTCTTCCTTCTTGAGATTTAAATTACTCACTAATAGTTTGTAATGATGAATGCATATATTTGCATTAAGCTACCAATAATCTTTATTGACTATCCTTTATTTATATATCCTCTAAGAATTTTCTAGCTACAGCTTCTAAAGCATCTTCAGGCCATTAATGGAAACAATCAATTGTTGTACAATTTACAATACTAGGAAACATACGTATTCTAGATCTTAAGGTATCACCAATAGGACTCATTGCCATAACAACATGAAGTTTCTTTTTTACACATTCAATAAAATAATCATAAAATTAAGCATTATTTCCATTATCAAACAATTATTATCTACCTTCTTTCTTTGCTTTCAATCTTAATTTATCTATTTATGGAATGAAATCTTCCTATCCAAATAGATTAGGAATATCTCCTGTATTAAGTAAATTATTAACATCTTCTAATATAAATGGTTTCTTTATTTATGAATCAGAAATACAAAGAGTTATTTCTTTATTATCTGCTCCAGCATTTATCATTAATTTTTACATTGTTTCTTTCCATTAATCATAAGTATAACCTTTCCCTACTTCAATTTATAAGAATTCTTATTCTCTAATAAAACATGCCAATCTAGTTAAACTTTATCTTCCAGATCCTCCTAAACCAATCAATAATAAATGACCTTAAGTCATGTTTAAAACTCTTTGAATTCTTAAGAGATGATCAACACAATAATCAAAAAATGCTAAATTCAATGGTTTTTTAGTATTAGAATTAAGATCTTCTAAAAAGTATTGTAATTTTGAATAAACTCTAGTAGATGACATTACTTCTGTATATTTCCTTTCTGAAACATTAGGTTCTTCTGAAAGAATGTCTGACCAAACATAACTTTTTATATTGTATTTAGTAGTTGCAACATCATCATATGGTTTAATCATATGTTTTAAATCATCTCTTAATTTCAATTTAATTGAATTAGCTAACATTAATTAATATTATTCATGATCAACTTATTCCAATCTATCAAAAAATGTTCTTGTAGTTTCATGAAGCCATAATCTCTAAACTTTCTTATGATCAAGTTATAATTCTTTTGAATTCATCACCAAAGTCATACCTTATACAACTCTACTAATATCCCTCATATTAAGTATATACCATGATTTTCTTGGAGTTGCCTTTAATTAATCTCTAATTTATGTATATAAATCAATTGTTGCTTCTATTGCATAACCAAAACTCTTTCTAATATCATTATCTGTGTTTTCTATTTTAATATTATTCAAATGCCAAGAAATAATAGAAGTAAAGATATGTACTATATTATTAGTGTCAGGAGTAACAATAGACACTATTTAAAAGAATCTTAATAATCTTTAAGAAACAAAGCTTCTTCCACCACCTGGCAATCCCATAGATGCAATAATATTGCAATCCAAAATATGCATAAACTATCTGTCATTACCATACCATCCTTTGGTTCCTATAAATTATCTTATCAATTCCAAAGGTGCTTGAGTACCATATTTATCAGGGGCAGGCATATTCAAATCATCAATATAAATAAGTCCAATGAAACCTAATGGTGGTCCATAATAACCTTTTCTTTTCCTTTCTACCTTAGAATCAATAATCATTTGTGTTTTGTTAGCACTTGTAGTGGCTGAAAAATTGACAAATATATTTAAGTAGTTTTATAATTAAGATATATGTTTACGGATATAACATGTTTTACCAACTCCACTTGGACCAATAATCAATAATGGAGAATGTCTATTTATGGATTTATCAATGAGTGCTGTTATTCTTAAAGATTCAGATGTCTCTACTAGTATTTCTTAATAAGTTATGTTTTCTGGAATTTAAGAATCTTTGAGTAATTCTTTCCACATTCTCCATTTGAGTAATTCAGGATCATAAAAGAAATCATAAATATTTGTATTAGATAATTCTGGTATTTGAGATTGCTTATCAATTTTAATGACAACATCTTTTTTATTCTCATTTCTAAGAGGTTCCTTCATTAACTTTTTGAGATATTAATCAAAATGTTTTCTACCTATTTCATCCACTGAACTACCTACTGTCCATATAACTGAATATATAAAGAATGCATCAATCAATATACTAGGATCAGATTATTTCCTAATAGCTTCTGGATATGTTTAAATTAATTGAATTAACATTGATAAAGTATGAATGCAAAATGAATTTTCTGGGACAGATTCATATTCATGACATTTTTATTTAATGAATTTTTGAGCTTTATCAACAATAGTTTCAAAGAGATCAGAAATTCTCATTATAATATTTTAATCTATATTTTGTATTTCTTGTAATTATTTCTAAAATATATTAAACCATCCAAGTTGATCTGGTTGTAAATATACCATACCACATCTACTAACTGTTGCTGGTGATGCCTATGTTAAATCTTGAACTTCAAATATGATTGTCATTCTATCAGTCATAGCAATTGTCTCTCCACTCATTAAACATAATTTCTTATTGTCATCCAAAACTGTATTCATATTTTCAATCCATGCTGCATCTACAGGCCCATCAAAAACTAAAAATTATCTATCCTAAGAAGTTGATGTAGCACATTTACGATAGATTTCTCCCAATACTCCTTCTGTCCATTCCTTACTAACAGGATCAGAATATCCATATAATTAATTCAATGTTATAGATTTAGGATTTAATACATGATATTATACACATCTTTCATCTTGTAACCCATTTTTATGACAGTAAGTAAGAGTAGATGCTAATACTTAATAACATGATGTTTTTCCACTCATAGTTTAACCAACTAACATAAGTCCATGTCTACAATTAATCATTTCATATAATTGTAAAACTTTTCTTTTAAAATTAGGTACTATTTGCATATTCTAAGATTGTAAGACCTAATGCATAGCATCTTATAAATTCTTATATTCTACTGGTTACACTTTTACATCTGGAAAGAGATCACTCATAATACCATTAAATAACATCACATCATTAGTTAAGAATTTAGGTAAATTGATATCACCTATGGCTCTATATATAAGAATATCTTCTCTTTCTGTAGATTTTCGTTTAAGTAATTATGCAGCCGTCAATACTGCTTTCACTGCCCTCATACCATAATCATAATGATCTTGACTTGATAGTTATTCTGAACATAATTTATACACAGCTACTATCTTTTTAGCCAATGCTCTAGCCTCTACAAATCCAAATGAATATAAAGATATTTCTGCAATAAGAGCATAATCTGGTACCATCATAGCACATGGTCTAAATAGTGCTTTCAAATTATCTGGTAATTCTGATCTACCTGCATAACCAGGATTCATTGTAATAAAGATGTTACATGATTATTGAATTTTTATTTCTGTGCCTTCAAATTAAAATGATTCAATCTACATTGATTTTGCTTACTATATTTATAAGATTTATTATGCAATAACAGATAACACTTCTAATTCAATTCTATTAAATTCATCAAAACATGACCAAGCACCAGCACTTGCTAATCCTTTAAAAAATTTGGCCATTGCATGAGTATTCAATCCCTCACCACAATTAAACACTATACATTATACTGCAACTGCTTTGGCTAAATCTTTTGTTGATTCTGTCTTACCAGTACCAGCTGGTCCTTCTGGTGCTCCTCCTAAATTCAATTATAATGCACCAACTAATGTTCTATAACATCGATCTGTTAATGGAGTAATAACCAATCTACTTCCTATTCCTAAATATTCATTTCCATATGGAATAGATGTTTATACCATTTTCACTTAAATACTTGTGTCTTCTAACATATAATATCTTAATTAAGAAGTCCATTCAAATATACTTATATCTTTCATTTCTAATTTAATAAGATCTTATAAAATATCATTATTATGAACTTCTAATACTATCAAAGCAGATAACAATTATCTTTCATTTTATTATTATGATTCCCTTACTAAAGATACAATCTCATTCAAATGATTAACTCTGTCATTCCCATATTTATTGAGAGTCTTTCCTGATCTTATAGTACTCTCTATTTAATTAGTAAAATTAATGCAAGCACAAGTCAATAAACATTAACCAGGCCATCGACGAATCCATTTAATTAAAGCTGGTAATTCTTATAATTCTCCATAACATTATCTAATTAAATGAGAAATGCTGTTTCTCATCTCTTCTTCCACTTTTAATAACCATTTCTCTACACAATTCTTGAATTCTTTAGGAGATACCTTATTATCAAAATTGACTTCTTCTTTTTCAACACTTTTCATTCCTAATATATCAGTATTTGAATTGAAAATTAATTCTTCAATTCCCTCAAAACACTTTCTCATATGAGGTTATACTAATAAGGGGTCTCTTGTCTCAGCCAAAATATTAATCAAATCATCATTTGATAAAAAAAAGAAACGAGGAAATTCTAATCTTTTAATCTCCAAATGATTCTCTAATCCTTTTTGTATTTCCTCTATCAATTTTAATGAAGTTTATAAAATATCCATTAAATTTGGAATCTTCTCTAAATTTAATGCTAATGGTTCCATTTCAACAGCCTTTGTAATTAAATTCCAATTACTACTTACCTTCTTGAATTTTTCACTCTCATCATATAATGTTTTTACAATATCTTCAAAACTGAAAATAGGTTCCAAATATAAGTACATACCTTATACTTTAATCCATAAATCTAAGATCTATTAAATAAATATCATTAATTTTTCCCATCTTATTGCATCTTCCTCCATAAATTTAATCAAAGGATTAGCTCTGATTGTTTAAGATTTAATAACATGATCATCTAATAAAGTTTGAATTTCTTCTACAGATTGTCCTTATAAAATAAGTACTCCTCTTCCTTTATAATTCAAAACAACCAATTTAATACTATCCCATTCTTTTTTCATTTTAGCTAATGCATTTTCTAGAGTGAATTCTTTACTTGCATTTTCTGATATTTCTTCCATTTCATTAATAAATTAATCTACCTTCTAAGTAATCAATTCCCTTAAAGATACTTCCTTATAATTGAAAGATTATGAAAGTATAGTTTAAACAGTTTTCCAATGTCTTTCACGTAAACCTGGATTTGATAGAACTTCTAAAGTTTTACTATGTAAACTCATAGCTTCAACATCTTCTACAAACTCTCCCAATACTCTGAATGGAATACTATTTTATTTAAACATTTTGCTAAGTTTAATATTCCCCTTTCTTTAATTCTTTAAAATAGTCTCTACATCACCATAATCAACATCCATAATTGGACCATTCATCCATTTCTTTTTATTTTCCATATATACACCTATTGATTTCCACATTTCAGAATATGGTTATATTTCAGCTTACAATTTAACAAAATTCTCAAATTGAGATGGATATCCAAACAATGTTAATTCTTTTTAAATTATTTCTTGCATTTCAGCAGCAGCTTCTGCTAATTTCTATTCAAATTCTTCTATATCTTTAACATATCCTTTATATTTTGATCTTTCTGTGAATGTCTCAAGATTATGAATTTCATCACAATATTTAGCCACTCTCTCTTCAAATTATGATCTCTATTTTTTAAGTTCCTCTTCTAATCTACCTCTCTCTATCTAATGTTTCTCTTCCTATTCAATCAATTCTTTATCAAGTTATGCTGGTCTATGATACAATTCTTCTGATAACAATAATAATTATTCACTAATAACATAATCTTGTTTCAGTAAAAACATAACCTTAATAAAAATGTCTGTTGTATTTGTTTTTATCTTTACTCTCTCTTAACCAACATCTGTTATGTACTTGTCCATAGCTTCTACATCTTCTGGTGTTTTTAGTGATCTTCTTATGTATGTACTAATAAGTAAGTATCTATCAGATATAACTTTAGCTTAATCTATTAAAACAGATTCAAAATTAATAAATAATCTATCCTTATATTCTTTAATCATTTATTTGACATTTTAACATACAGACTCACAATTTACTTAAAATAAAGGGAATTGAATAGTTAATGGAATTTTATCTAATAAATTTTTATATTTATTTAGAATTTCCATATACATTTTAAACTCTTCATTTGATATTGCTTTCTTTAATGATTTGATTTCCTTCTCATATACTTTATTAAAGAATTAAGTAAACTATTAGAAATATTCAAGAACTTAAAGAGTTCTTTTGTAATGTTCACTAACATGTTTTAAAATTCTAGCTTCTTAAGCCAAATAACATCCTTCTTCAGTTGATGCTACTGTCATATATTTTTTCTCTTAATAAACTTCTCTCTATTCTTCAGATGCCAATAATAGTTCTGGATGCTCTTTTTATTATTTTTCTTCTACTTTCACTTATGGCCAAAAAGATTTGAAGAACCTTTAAAAGTCTTCTTTTGTCATACCTCCCATATCTTAATCAAAATTAAATTAAAAATTTCTTAATGGAGCTGGTTAGATAGTCTCTTTTGGATTATAAGTGACTTTAGCAAATTTTGGATGTAAAAATTTATCAAATGAGATAATTATACTTCTATATGCATCAACAAATTCATTCTTAACAGATTCTTCATTTTCTTTTAATTTAACAAATTCATTTTCTATTACTAATTCTAATCGAATAAAAGGATCATAAGGTTATTAAAGTAAAGTCCATTTTGGAGGTATAAATTCCCTATCTTTTAAACTTTAACAAGCTTAAATCAAACTAGTAAAATTAGTATCACTTATCTAAATATCATATTATTTAGGAATATCAATATTAAGAATATGTTACTCAAAATGTTATAAAGATCTATCTATGAAACTTCTCAACTACAATTATAATAAAACAGTAGCATTAGATGTGATTGCTTTTCTTTATTCTTTTTCTAACTTTTTATAAGGTTTTTCTTCTTCTTATTACTTGATATCCTCTAATTAAAATTAAGACAATTTGTCTGATTCAATTGGATTTGGATTTTATAACATTACATGATATTCTGTAAAGGCATTAAGTGCTTAACATGAATCTTTAAAACGATCAAAATTATATGGTTGAGTAGTTTTAGAAGCATAAAATTGTAAGGCCTCCTTAATAGATATATAACAAGAATGTTCTTCACCCTTATAAATTACATTATCTTCATCTATAAAATCTTCTTCAGGGATAATATCAAGAATTGTTTATCTTAAAGATTATTATTTAAATTTTGGTCCAGTAATAGTCCATGTACTTTTATATTATTTTTATCTTAAGAATTTTTAAAGCTTAATTATAAGCATAACTCCTCTAAACCAAACATGTTCTAAGAGACAAAGTACATTTAATTTATAGATTGTTTAAACTCTTTAAAATTCTTAGAATGTAAAAGTATAACCTAATCTAGCTACTTATTTCATTTTGCTTAAATCACATAATTTAAAATTATTAAAATCTTAGATCCAATCAGACAATCCTTAATTGATAGTTGATATAAGAGTAAGATTACTTTTGCAGAAATCCTTACCTCTTTATACAAAATCATGCCAATCTGGAAATAATTTCATATTGTAACCTCCTTCTCTAGCAATTCTTTAAGCTGAATTTATGAAATTTCTTGGAATTAATGTAATATGAAGTCTTTTTCTTTCTTCTGGTGATCTAAGTATATAATCAAGCATTGCTCTTTTCATATATTCTCTAAATAATTCTAATATCTCTTTAACAATAAATCTAGAACATTCTTCATTACGTAATAATTCTGGTTTAATCAAATTGAATGCATTTAAAATCCATTCTCTTTTGAATTTTGGAACTTCATCATTTCTTATATGATCTCCAGATATATAATTACGATATCTTTCTTCTGATATAAGTACTTCTTTAAGAATGTTTTCTGGCCAGAATTCTCTATCAATATGAATGTAATAGTCTTTGCATAATAATGATGGATCATAATTGCCATTCATTTCAGCTAACATTTCATTGAATTTTCTAAGAGACAATTCCATCTGATCTATATTTTCATCATTGTCATCAAAATATTCAGGATATAAACATAAAGATACTGGTTCTCTAGTCAAAGCATCATTAGCTCCTGAATTAATTCCTGTTTTGTCTCTTCCTTATTTTGGAAATAATTCATTTACAATAGCTAATTATATAGGAACTTCTCCATCTGTTTTTTCAGCAGAACTCATTGTTTTTTATAAATCTATTATTTTTAGTAAATGTTCTCTTTTCAACTTTGCTGAAAATTACATATACACTCCAATTCTTTATATTGGTGAATAATAACCTAGATCTCCAAATCTTGCAAATGTAGCTGCAACAGTTCTTTCATTTCTATCAAAAAGTTCTTCATATGGTAAATCAAGTGCACTAACATTAGTGAATTTAGTATATATTTTAAAGAAAGATTATGGTGCAGTTGTTTTTGAAGATAAAGGTCTTTAATGACTCCAATTACTTTAGGGTCTTATAACTTATTAATCAATCATATCTGTGATTTATTTTTTATGTTTTTGATTAGGTTTTTGAAATACATCAAGAGTAGCACTTTAAATACGATCTTATTTAACTCTTTTGCTTTCAGTAACTTCAAAAGCTTAAGATTAAGGTCTTTAAATAGATGTCATTGGTCTTTTAGAAATTGGAGGTCTTGATAATGTTTATTGAGCAGATTATAGTCTTTATTATTATTCTTAAATAATTGTGAAATCCATCTTTCCTATGGATGTTACAGTTTAGGGACGAGGTTATTGTGCATTATTTTATCTAGAAACATCAATTGATTATTATTTGGAGGGTTCATTTGAAATCATCTTACCTCCAAGAGATGATAAAAATTCATATGGTTTTAATGTACCACTAATTGTTTCACAATCTTATTAATATTCAGTCTCTTCTTTCTTGACAGCTGATGAAACTCTTTTCAATCCTATAGTTGTGTTTTTACTTGCTTCCCATAAACGTGCATTCACATCCACTGTGCATGAATATGGTTATGCTATTCTGTAATTGATGTACTTATTCATCATCACTGCAGGAGTCTAAATCATTTTCAAATTTATTTTACTTCTATTGTACTCTATGGTCTTTGATGAACTATTGTCTATACTTCGCTATGCATTGGCTATAATGTTGATGTTTTTGCCCTATTCTCTGCCTCTTCAATAGAACGTTGTGATGCACTTTTACATTCATATAACTGCAGTACTTCTTCATATTGGGCAAATGAAATTTCTGCCCACTCTAATTGTACAATGTGTACCCATTCGGCATAGCAACTCGTTTTACAGCAGACGAAGCTCTATTTCCACTTGATTAAGCTCTCCTAGGATTCATTAATTAATTATAATATTCACTTATATAATTTCTTATATTTTATCACTAAAATCTTTTCTAATCCTTAGTTTCTCTAATTTTTTTTGTTTAGGTCAATAAGCTCTTATTTATAAATTGATATTTGGACATATGATTCTTTCTGAAGAACTTATTTAACTGAGTTGTATATAATTTTGTTTGATTTTCAATAGATAAACTAAGTACTATTTGATTAATTATTCAAGAAGTTTTTTTTCTTTAGAATATAAGTTCAATACTTAAGTAATTATCAAAATAATTTTCAATTATAATCAAATCATTATAATTATATATTATTAAATCTGTATCTTGATTTGTTGATTAAATTTGTAACAAAAAAATATTTTCCACTCTCCTTCTAGTAATTAGATTATTGATTAATACATTATATTTAGCATTCCTAACATAATATATAACTTATATAATCAATCATTCACAATAAAGTTTGTTAGGTTCTTTTATTTAAATAGAAAATTTCTCAATTTAAACTATTTTATACTTGATTTTATTTTTAACAGAAATTTATTATATGTACCCAGAATATTGTGTTGCTCAAAGACAATAACCCTACCCTTTACATAAAATTACTCAATCATATAACCCAGTCGTGTAGAATGAACCAAGACCACGATAACCTAATGAAAATCCAAAAGATTATATGATCACAGCATACACTTCCATTAATCATGTTATTGATATCTCTCCCACATCCTCCATCTATAGATTGGATCCTTTTGCCAAATATTTGTGTTGTTGGACTAATGCTGTTGGTCCTGAAGAAGTTAGTGCTATACAAGAAAGAACTAAATGGAAACACCCAAATCTAGTCTCTTTTCTCTTCTTTGAAGAATAAAGTGACAAATTTAGTCAAAGTAGGCAACTCAAAATCTTCTATGAATACCTTCCTTTGGATATTAAATAATTAATTGAGAAAAGATCAAAAACATAGGAATATGTACCTGAGGAAGAAATATGGAAAATGATTTCTGGATTATGTGAGGCTTTTTTATTTCTCCAAAAAAGGGGAATCACTCATTCTGCCTTGACATTAGAATCAGTTTACTTTGATGAAGAATATTTACTTTATAGAATTTAAGATGTAAGTCCTTTCAGAGCTAGAGCACCTCATTTATTTGAAAATTAATTCAAATCACCAGAATCAGAAGGTAATCTTAGAGTAAATAGATTTAAGTAGGATGTATTTGGATTAGGGTAAATAATTATTTTTATATCTATTAGTATGATCATATTATCTCTATGTCTTCTAAAAAACTGTGATTATCTCTTTGAAACAGGAGGTATAAGTGTTATTTCTTTAAACGATTGTTTTGATTAATTGAGAACACTATATCCTGGGAGAGTTGATTAAATACTCAAAAAAATGCTTCTCATTGATTTTAATTAAAGACCAGATTGGTTAGAGATGTAATAATTATTAGGCAATTTAAAGGACATGCAATTTACTAATTTAGATCTTGGTTTGTCTAATAAATCATCAATTTTGAATTCATCATTTTAGTTACAATAATAGTTACAATAACAATAATAGCAATAAGCATATAAAGCCTATGACTAAATAACATTAAGTTAAGAAAATAGGGATATTGTTAATAATAATAATAATAATAAATTTACAAGTTCTATCAATAATAATACTACAATTAAGACTACTGATTCAGTTGACTAAAAACTTATTAATTTAAATAAAAGAATTCAAGAAACTTTATCAAAAAGCTTAAACAAAAATATTAGATGATTTATATTATATAGATATATAAATATTATTTATAAAATGATTATAAGAATCATATTTATCATTTTCAATTTACCTTAAATTATTTATTCAAAGATATTTGAAATAAAAGAAAAGAATGGTACTCTGTTAATGGAAACTATGAATGGATTTTAATTAGAAATATAATATAATTTCGATAGGTAAATTAGTGAATTGAATTAAATTTAAATATCAAAGTGTACAGAAAATTGTAAGGATTGTAATCGACGTCAGTGTTATTTAGGCAATAGAGAACTTGATCATTCTAATATTAAAATTTATGATTTGGACACTTAATAAATTGTTTTATAACATTTAACATATTTTAATGATTAAAATTAAAATAAACCTATTTCTAAATTATCATTGGCAAAGCTAGGATAATATTTGAATTCTTTTATTGATGATGGTTTTTAATTATGTTAAGGTTAAATAGATAAAACATTAGAGACACAATTTAATATTAAAATGAAAGATATCTCTCAATAAAAAGTATTATTATCACCAATTATATCATTAAATGGGTTAAATCATATTAAAATAAACTACTTAAAGTTAGGAGATACTTTAGTTGATATATCATAATGTGTTATATTTTTCTTTATAGGGAAAGATTAAGAATATGTTAATTAAATTTCCAATACCGAACTTGGCTCATAATATTATAATCTTTGGAGCTTCTTCATACAAGAAAATGAAAATTTGAATTTTTTTCCAATTTGGATTTTAAATATTTTATCATCAGAATTTTCTAAAGCTGGATTTGTGTCTTAATCATTCGATAATTTTACATATTACTTTAGATAAAATGACAATATTAGTATTAAATTAGATTCAAATCTTGACTTTCAGTTTTTCAATAAAGAAAATGAATAAAATCCAATAATTTATTCACAATAAAAATACATATATGATTTTTAAAATGGAGATAAAATCATTAAGATTAATAGTCATAGGAATTACAACTCTAATTATATATTTCTAGGATAATCCTTCTTTGAGAATAAGAAAATTTAATTCAATTTTGAAGAAAATTTTATTACTATTTAGAATTACTATGAAGACAGATGTTTTAAATATGAAACATCTACTCTTTATTAGTAAGAAATACTTGTCTTATAGGTATCAATTCCATTAATAATTTTGCTCACATTATTTTTTATAAAATATTAAACTAATTTTAACTAAAATAATGGATAAAGAACTGAGTTTCAATTAGATGATTAATAGAAATTTTGATGAATATTAGTATATATTATATTGTTAAAGCTTTAATAATAGAAGATTAAATTATTTTATAAATATATAATAGATTTATTATTCATTTTAGTAAAAATTATAGTCTATTATCTTGTAAATCAAATATTAGTATTTATTAACCTTCTTCCAACAATTATCACAATGTTATTGTAGAAAGTAACTTAATCTAAGAATTAAAAAAAAAGAATGAAGATTCTTATTTAATAGTTTTTACTTAATTGACTCCATTTATGAAATTTTTAAACTTAAATCTTATTAGTATCTTTTATTCTCTTTTCCAGATATTACTATAATTAATAATATATAAGGAATAATAAAAAGAATCAAGAATTTCTATACTAATAAATATATTTTTTATATATATATTGAATGGATCAAAGTCCTAATTCTTTAAAATTTGGATTTGGTCTTGAGTATTCATTTGTTAAGAAATATCTAAAATAATCTAATTTGATTACTCTGGGAAATACTTTTTGGCTAAGCCATAAGAGGCATTCATTCTTACACATAATTAGAAATAATTTCTAGCATCTAAACATTCTGGTACATATGAATCTTCAAATAGACCAAATTGATTCTTGCAATGTTAAGCCATTCTATCATAAAGATGACAAGCTAATAATTGATTGGCCTATCATTTAATATATGATTACTTTATATTCGACAAACTCAAATTTGAGATTATCTAACAACTTCACATGATTTTTTGTTAATGTTTATAAATTAATCATGTTTCTAAACATAAAATCTAATATTTAAGAGTTAAATGTACCTTCTTCTTCCCAAACTTCATTATAGATTGGCATCTTTGTTTATTTGGATATATTTAATAATCAATTAAAAAAATAATTTGATAATTAATTTACTAAATTCATTTCATAATCATTAATTTATTTTTTTATTGATGGTTTAAAGNTAGTCATAGGAATTACAACTCTAATTATATATTTCTAGGATAATCCTTCTTTGAGAATAAGAAAATTTAATTCAATTTTGAAGAAAATTTTATTACTATTTAGAATTACTATGAAGACAGATGTTTTAAATATGAAACATCTACTCTTTATTAGTAAGAAATACTTGTCTTATAGGTATCAATTCCATTAATAATTTTGCTCACATTATTTTTTATAAAATATTAAACTAATTTTAACTAAAATAATGGATAAAGAACTGAGTTTCAATTAGATGATTAATAGAAATTTTGATGAATATTAGTATATATTATATTGTTAAAGCTTTAATAATAGAAGATTAAATTATTTTATAAATATATAATAGATTTATTATTCATTTTAGTAAAAATTATAGTCTATTATCTTGTAAATCAAATATTAGTATTTATTAACCTTCTTCCAACAATTATCACAATGTTATTGTAGAAAGTAACTTAATCTAAGAATTAAAAAAAAAGAATGAAGATTCTTATTTAATAGTTTTTACTTAATTGACTCCATTTATGAAATTTTTAAACTTAAATCTTATTAGTATCTTTTATTCTCTTTTCCAGATATTACTATAATTAATAATATATAAGGAATAATAAAAAGAATCAAGAATTTCTATACTAATAAATATATTTTTTATATATATATTGAATGGATCAAAGTCCTAATTCTTTAAAATTTGGATTTGGTCTTGAGTATTCATTTGTTAAGAAATATCTAAAATAATCTAATTTGATTACTCTGGGAAATACTTTTTGGCTAAGCCATAAGAGGCATTCATTCTTACACATAATTAGAAATAATTTCTAGCATCTAAACATTCTGGTACATATGAATCTTCAAATAGACCAAATTGATTCTTGCAATGTTAAGCCATTCTATCATAAAGATGACAAGCTAATAATTGATTGGCCTATCATTTAATATATGATTACTTTATATTCGACAAACTCAAATTTGAGATTATCTAACAACTTCACATGATTTTTTGTTAATGTTTATAAATTAATCATGTTTCTAAACATAAAATCTAATATTTAAGAGTTAAATGTACCTTCTTCTTCCCAAACTTCATTATAGATTGGCATCTTTGTTTATTTGGATATATTTAATAATCAATTAAAAAAATAATTTGATAATTAATTTACTAAATTCATTTCATAATCATTAATTTATTTTTTTATTGATGGTTTAAAGAGTCTTTATATTATCTTTTAGAAAGAGTAAATTTGCCTACCACTATTCTAATACTTATTCACTACTAAAGAGCAATTCAATTCTTCCATCATTTTAAGTTATAAGAGACATTGGCCAAAATAATATCTTACTAACTGCACTTTCTTATTTACTCAAAATATATTTGCATTAAATTTGTTTCTTTACTTATATTGATTATTGAATAGGACTTGGAATCATTGCTCTCATGATTTCATCTAACTTTATTGTAGCATCAACTTGCTAAGTAATAAACATAACTTTACATTTACTCTCATTTAATTTTTAAATTCAATGCTATCCAAATTTTTAGATAAACAAATGATTCTTGGACAAAATCCACAATTTGCTGGATTTTAACAAGTAAAAGGATCAAATTCTTATTTTGTTAAATTAGGTTTACTAGTTGAAAACCTTTTGTATATTTACTATCCTTTCTATAAAGGTTTAAGTATTTTCAGAATTTCTTATTCTATTGGTATTAATTAATTTATAGTATTCTAAACTTTTTATATTTCTTTTGATTATCCATTATTCGTTGATGTATTGGTAATAAATGATTTTAATTATTCTTTATTAGAAGTTGAATCAAATGATTTAGATTTTTTTTATTTTGATAATTTTTCAGATAAAGAATCTTTTGATTTAAAAAATTAATCATTTTTATTTTTTTAATTTGATGAAGGAATTGATACTTGATTACTAAAAAATAAAGAACCATTTTAAGATGGTATCCTATTTTATTTTGAATTAATTTCAATCTAATTTTTGAATTAATCTTATGATTAAATTTCATTATTTGAAAATCTTTTTGTTTAATCAGTTAAAGGAATACCTATGTTTTAAGAAGAATTATCTATTTATTTAATAGTTTTTAAATTTAAAATGTTCTTCATATTAATATTTACAGAATTTGTATCTATTTTTTATTTTGGATCAATTTTCTATCTATTTCTTTTAGAACTTAACTATTCTTCAGTTATAGTTTATAATCTAAAAAATAGATTTTATTATGATGATAAATTATCTTAAATAACTAATGATTATTATGGTTATAACTTCATAGTGTAACCATCAATAGATTTTCCTGATTAAATTAATGCTAAATTTATCTCTTAAAAGTGTTGTAATGTTGAATCTTCAGAAGTACATTATCCATCAAAGTATTTAGTATCCATATCTAAATTTTTAATTGATTATAACTAATTTAACTTGGATTATGTTTCTTGATTTGTATGATAATTGAAAAAACTTTATGTTTAACTATAATTATTATTGTATCCTTTATAATCTCTTTATTTCTATTAAGAATTAGATCTTTCATTTTGATATTCGTCATATTCAATTTATGATATATCACCAAATCCTGTTAAATTACCATTATAAAATTCTTCAGTTTCTTTCTTAGTTTTAATTTTATCTTGTGTAAATGTTTAATTACGAGCAATTTCATTTAATTATTATGCTAATCTTATATTCTTCAATTCTAAATTTTGCATCTTCTCATTTAAATTTGATGATATACCTTCTTCTAAATGAATTCTAAGTATTTTCTATATT